AGTATATAACATATAACATATAACATATAACATATAATATATAGTAAATATAGTATATAGTATATAACATATAACATAACATATAACATATAGTATATAGTATATAGTATATAGTCTATAAACTATAACATATAACATATAACATATAGTATATAGTATATAATATATAACATATAACATATAACATATAGTATATAGTATATAACATATAACATATAGTATATAGTATATAACATATAACATATTACATATAACATATAACATATTACATATAACATATAACATATAACATATAACATATAGTATATAGTTTAGAGTTTATAGTAATATGTTATACTTTATAGTTTATAGGTTATATGCTATAGTTTAAAGTTTATAGTTATATGTTATAGTTTAAAGTTTATAGTTATATGTTATAGTTTATAGTAATATGTTATAGTTTATAGTTTATATTAATATACTATATACTATATACTATATACAACATATAACATATAACATATAGTATATAGTTTATAGTAATATAGTAATATGTTATATAAGTAGTTTAAAAATACTATAATATATGTGCTATATAAGTGGTATATACTATATATTAAAAATACTATAAGTGGTATATACTATGTATTAAAAATATTATATACTATAAATTATAATATATTATGTATATACTATATATTAAAAATACTATATACTATAAAAAATCTTGATATTGAAGGATAAGAATAAAATTTGCGCAAAAATAAACGCGATAGCCTGGCGGCCTAATGGTAAGGAGGTGTGCCCAGAGATAATTAAACCGTTTATATGTTTTTATGTTATAGTTTATAGTTTATAGTTTATATGTTATACTTTATAGTTTATATGTTTATATTTTTATATGTTATAACATATAATAACATATATACTATATAATATTATACTATAAATAATATATACTATATAATACATATTGTTTAATATATATACTATATACTATATACTATATACTATATACTATATACTATATACTATATATTATATACTATATAATATATACTATATGTTATAATATATATGTATATACAATAAAAAAAATCCTTCTTCTTCCCCTACGCGAACAGAAACACAGAGAGCAGAAAGAGAAGAGAGCGAGTTTGAGTTCGGGAAGAAGAAAAGAAAAAAACACCCCGCCCCATCGCCGCCCCGCCGTGCCGTCGCCGCCTACTGCACTGCCACCGCGCCTCCTTCCCGCCTATTAGGTACGTTTCTTCTATTACTCTTTCATTTTTTCAATTGTTTCAATAATTTCGAATTAGGGCTAAATTTAGGGGTTTTAATTGGATTCAGTTATGGATTCAAATATGTTGATGGATTGTTTGATTATGTATGTTTGTTTGCTAAATTGATGGGTTATTTGAAAATTGGTTAGGGTTTTGTAGTTTGTTTGGAAATATATGATTTGAAGGTGTTCGATAAAATACCTCAAAGAAATTGTTGTACATATTGTTGACATATTGTGAATTTGTGATGATTGTGATGAGGTGAATTTAGTTGTGAATTTATATAATATTTTTAGGGATTATTTTTGTCGGAAGTTGAATTGTTGGAGTCGAATTGTCGATTAGAGATTATTTTTGAATTATTGTGTATATGATTTTTGAATTTGTGAATTTATTGTTTATTTCGTTTCTTTGTGTTTTTGTCATTTTTTTTGTGTGAATATGATTGTATTATTGTAATTTAATTAATTATTTTTTTTTTTTTTTTTTGCAGAAAATGGCATCTTCGTCGTCCTCACAACCGCAATGTTACAATGTACATCCCGGTCCAAGGGATCCGTCCGTTCTATATCTTCAGTACTGCCACCGGTCGAGCGCACTATTCGAAGATACAGACGGATGTCGTGACGGCGTCATCAAACCCCGCCGTTTCGACACTCAGTTCTGAAAGGCGTTGGATCACCAGCATCCCAAAGTTTGGGATGCCATCGAGAGGATGGGGTTTGTCCCGCTGTTTCGAATGGGCAGAGTTGTGACCGACAACAGCTCGTCACGTGTCTGGTGGAAAGGTGGCGACCGGAGACGCATACCTTCCACTTTGACTTCGGGGAGGCCACCATCACGCTGCAGGACGTACAAGTCCTTTTTGGTCTCCCGATAGATGGAGAGCCTTGTTGGGGAGCGACTCAAGATAACACACCTCTTAAATGGCAAGAAATTTGTAATGATTACCTAGGGTTCGAGCCCTATGTTCAGGTAAAGTTTTTCTTACAATTTTGTTTTTATTTTATTTATGTTTACTTTATTCATTAATTTTTAATATATATAAACCACTCTCAGAAGGCCGACGAACCAGTTCAAGACCCCAAGAGTTGGGCCATTACAGGCCAGTATTTGAAGGTCTATGTGTTAGAAGACGAGTGCAACAGAGAGCTACCCGATGGAGAGCATATCCTCACCTACGAGGCGAGGGCGAAGGCCCTTATACTCTGGTGCATCGGTTCATTCTTCTTCCCCGACCAGAGGGGCAATGGAGTGAACCTCTACTGGTTGCAGCTTTTGCATGACATCGATACGATCAAGACGTACAGCTGGGGTTCGGCGGTCCTGGCCGGAGTGTATAGAGCGCTCTGCACGAGCGCCAAGTCCGGGGAAAACTGGATCAAGAACTGTGTCCAATTGATTCAGGTAAATTTATTTGCTTGTTATTTGAAAATTCATTTTTTATTCTAATTTAGACTAATATCTAATAACAAATGAATATGTCAATATGTGTAGGTTTGGGCATATGAACGTATTCCTCGTATTCGCCCAAGAATGAGGGATACGAACTTTGAGAGAGTCGCTGGTTGTCCCTTAGGTGGAAGGTAATAAAATTTATTTATATTTAATAATTAGATTATTTCCACTATCAAATGTTGTGAGTACAAATTGTTTTTTTTACTGTGATTTTTAAGGTGGGTGGGAAAGAGGAGCACGACACACCTGGGCAAGAGAACATCCACCACCCGGGATCAATTGACAAGGCTCATAGAGACGGCTGTAAGCTTATTATTATTTTTTTTTATTTGTTGTTTGTTTTAATTTTTTTTATAACTTAATTCCTAATTAATTTTTTTATATATTTTTTTTCAGTTCGAATGGCTACCCTATCAGTGGCACCTGCAAGCGAATGTTCTCCCGACCCAATGTACAGAAAATTCACACCTCTGGATGTATATGGGGTGGATCTTCAACTGGAACGTCCGTGAACTCCACCTGCCTGATAGGGTCCTCCGTCAGTTCGGGTGCCGGCAGTCCACCCTCGAACCTCCTATCATTACGACTGAGACCGAACATCAGTTACACCATCGAGGCCAGGGGATGACTGGGAGGCCAGTTTTTGATTGGGTCGCCTTTCACGGGGAGCTTGGGGATGCTTGGGTCGAACATAGAGACGAAAATATTGTCCCAGACCTCGCAGTCGAGCCATTCATTGAGCCTAAGGCGGGGTTACCTTGATTGGTTTTACAGTATCACTGTGAGAGTACTCGGTGACCCTGCCAAGTACGCGGTGGCCCAACCGGACAGAGGCTTTCACCCACTTGCCGAGCAGGGGAAGTGCGATGTATGTAATATATATTTGTGTTTATTATTATTATTATTATTATTTTTTATTTTTTATTTTTATTTTTTTTATTTTAGTTTGTGTTTCATTCTATTTGACTTTGAATTTTATTTTCAGGCTACCGCCATGGAGGGAACTTTTCACACGTTATCTAACGTGGACCACCTATCTCATACATTCCATCCAGATGTGTTGGCGGCAATCCAACAGGCCAAGAGCCTTCTATACACTTCTCTGACTGTCAGAGGCGGAGACGTCGCACAAGGGACGTCGTCGAGCCAAGTTCTATCGCAGGAGAGCTACGTCCAATCCCAAAGGACGCAGTCACCGGGCGAGGCATCGACCTGCTGCCAACATTGGTGGAGGTAGAAGACGACGCGACCGTCAACCCGCTGTCGACACCGGGCCTCAAGAAGAAGAAGAAGGTGAAAATTTTTAACTTAACAAAAAGATAATTTTATTTATTTTATTTATTGTGATTTTTAAAAAAAAGATATACTCAGGTGAAGAACAAGAAGAAGAAGAAGAACCTGTCACGCCCACAACATCGTCTTCTTCACGACGACCAGAACGTCGGATCAGCCACCGACATCGCAATCCTACGAATCGATATACTCCTAATTAGTTTGTGTTGTATTCGGAGAATTTTGTGAACATATTTGTTCTTTTTTTCATTCTGTATACTGATATTTGTGTTTTGAATAAATTATTGTGGTTGACTTTTTGTATATAGTGTATGTTTTTTTTGGGAGAATTGATTCATATTAGTTGGTTGAACATGTTGTGATTTATTGAACAGGTTGTGAAATGGATCCAAAAAAAAAAATTTTGCATTTTTCTGCAGATAAAAACGTATTCTAGGAATACGTTTTATGTAGAATTAGGGCAAATATAAAAAGTATTTTCAAAATACTTTTTACATTTACAAAACCGTATTTGCAAATTACATTTTATATTTTTAATAATTTTGAATAATTTTAAAATTAATTTTATTTAAAAAACGTATTTCAAAAATACGTTTTTGTAATTGAAAAAACTGGTGAAATTAATTTTAATTATAAAACATATTTCAATAATATGTTTTTATTTTTTTGACATGTAAACGTATTTTTGCTATACGTTTTTATATAATTTAATTTACTTAATTACATTAACTATGTTAATTAATTATTATTTAATAAACCTTATTCATGGAATACGTTTTACTAGAAAAAACGTATTTCACGAATTCGTTTTTTATGAAAAAACGTATTCTTTGAATATGGCTTTTTGATTTTTTTCCACTCTTTTTTTATTTATTTATGTCCACTTATTTTTTTTTATTTTTAAATAAATAAAAAATTCAATAAAGCACGCACCTTTGTATCGTGTAACTTACCTCCTTTACTCAATTCGTAGCTAGCCCGGCATAAATGGTGGACACACCAAATCCAACACACACCGGCGATACTTCACGGAGAATCATTTCGATTGCCGTCACACTCTCGCTCTAACAGGTTTATTGTCTTTAACATTCTGTTTTCACCTCGCTCGAACAGGTTTATTGTCACTTACATTCCGTTTTCACCTGTCGTTTTACATAGCTAACAAAAGTGCAATCGCAGGTGATGGTAAAGTGTATTCTTGGGGAAGAGGGATGTTCGGCCGGCTGGGTTCCGGTTCGGAGGAAAACCGGCATTTTCCTGTTCGAGTCAGCTTCTATGGTACTCTCAAGATTATAGGGATTGCTGCTGCTGCTGGGGCTTACCACAGTCTTGCTCTTACAGGTAAAATATCATGTGGTGGAATTATAATGCTACTTGTTGAGTTCAATGCAAGAATGAACACATTCATGTTGCAACCGGTAAAATAAAGTTATGCACATGTTTGTTTGCATTGTTGTTGCCACTGTTGTTGTTTTTACTGTAATTTGTTACTACAAAAAAATTGAGATTAGCTTCATTTCATATGAAAATACTCCTACTGCTGCTTAAGCTACAATGTGGAGGTTCATGTGGTAATGAATAATATTATTTGCAACAGCCTGTGAATAATAATGTATCTTTATTATGAGTTCCAACTTCATTTTGGCAGATGATGGGAAGGTATGGGGCTGGGTTACAACATCTGTATCCTTCATTTCAATTTGTTGTGAACAAGATTAGTGCATATCTCTGCACATCCTCTATGCCTTTTCTGTTTCTTACTTTTGTAACGTTATTCTGAGACTTGAGTACTCCTTCACTACGATGTGGATGGCCAAATTGATGGTACTGGGAAAAATTATTTGACTCCTCAGTTATTAAACAGTTTCTCCGAATCGAGATCTCCTCACTCTTCAACTCAAGATGATGATAGCAAGAGAGGCAAACCACTCAAGGTATGGACTAGTAGTTCTTTTTCAAATCATTTGTCTTAAAAGAAGAACCATCCTGAGGCTCAATCTAATAGTGTGCTAAAAAGAATCTCAATCATCGTTTGAAAGTATAAAATACTTCCTTGACAGGCGTTTCTAATTTACAGATCAAACTTCCAATGACAGAACATTTATATGAACACAGCTAAAAAATTTATGTGTCGTACAAGAGAATATTTTGTAAATTTATAAAAATAACTAGTTCCTTTTGATTTTCTTTCTTCCCTATGTTTATCTATGTGTTATTGGGCTAGACGTCAAGGAAGTGTTTGTAATTCACCCCTTATATAACTATTTAAAACTTGCAAAAAAATAAAAAATAAATCAGAAGTGCCCTTCCTAATAGCACTACTTACAGAGGAAAGTGTAGAAGCTGGAGGAATGATGTCACTCGCCATCGACGAGCTTGGGTCCCTATGGATATGGGGTAACTGCCCCAACCCTTCCCCCAAGATCACATTTTCACTTGTCAGCACCGGGTCCCCGCTCCCTGTCTCGAACTTCCATGGCCACACGGTGGAAACGAACATGTCATCGCATTAGTAACAGCTGGCAAGGACCCGAGCTGCTACTCGTGGGGCTGTAACACCCATGGCCAGCAAGGATTGGGGGACAAGGAAAGCCGGTCGAGCCCCAAAATTATCGAGAAATTCAACTCGGACTCTCCATGGGAGGCCTATGACATTGCATGCGGCGTGGCCCACACGGCTCTTTTAGCAAAGAGAAAATCGCCGAACGAGCTTTCGGAAAGCTTCTGCTGGACGTTTGGGTCGGGCGAGAACGGCCAGCTCGGGCACGGGACCACACAGGGTTCGGATTCGCCTGAGATGGTCAAGGGTTTTGCCCTCGGGGGTATTTTTGGTATCTGTTGGGTGCGGTTTGTTCCACACGAGTGTTGTCTCGTCCGACGGGGAAGTTTGGTCGTGGAGAATGGAGAAGGGTTTGGGGATGTGCCCGGACGCTAGCTTCACGGGAACTGATGCTGGCGCCCTTCTCCCTCTACTCTTTTCTCCGGATTTCGTGAACCCTCGTGGGTCGCGTGTGGTGGGGCCAACACAGTCCTTGTGATAGATATGGACTACAGAATCTGGTATACAAGATCAAGACATTTGTCAATTTTTGGTAAGCTACTGCAAATAATTACTAGTTATGTGCCCGAATTAAAGAGACATCACCGTGTCTGAGTAATCTATCTCCCTTCTGTGCCCGAATGCGCCATACAAATCCTTAAAAACCTCATCGCGGTATTCGCAGCCCACTCTCCCCCAGTTAATCTTGCGCTTGAGCCTAAACACAAATAGCGTGGTCAGACCTGAAAAAATGTAATGTTTGAGGATGAAGTAAAAAATGACGTGTAAAAACAGATGATTGAGCATAGTAAAAACAAACATACTGAAAAAAGTGATTTTGGCACTTAGTAAGCATGTGGCCAAAAAAGGCGTCAGAGTCCGTAGAAGTAGAAGAAGAGTACACACCACTGGTGGACAACTCTTGCAACTCACTGAAACAAGTAATCACACCTGCTATCATCACTGCTGCATCCAGGAGCAATTGAGTGCCATAGAGAGCACCGTGAAATGGCTTATTGCTGAACGCTCGGAGCAAAATTGTTTCCATGTTGCCTACATCGCCGTCAGGATACTGAAAATCGGGAGGCCATAATGTAGAACATCTAGAAAAGTGCTCAATGCCTGTGATCTCTTATTCAACCAAAAATATGCAGTTTACTATCGGTGACTGCCCACCTGATGGTGACGGATACCGTACAGAAAAGAAAGAACAAGACAAGTACTGAGGCTCAGTACTTGTCTTCCGTCACCATCAGGTGGGCAGTCACCGACAATAAATTGCATATTTGGTTGAATAAGAGATCACATGCATTGAAGACTTTTTCTAGATGTTCTACATTATGGCCTCTCGATTTTCAGTATCTTGGCAGCGGTGTGGGCAACATGGAAACAATTTTGCCCCGAGCGACTGTTCAACAATAGGCCTTTTTCACGGTGCTCTCTATGACACTCAATTGCTATTGGATGCAGTGATGATAGCAGGTGCGTTCACTTATTTCAGTGAGTTGCAAGAGTTGCCACCAGTGGTGTACTATTCTTCTACTTCTACGGACTCTCGTTTGCGGTCGACGCCTTTTTGAGCCACATGCTTACCAAGTGCCAAATCACTTTTTTTCAGGTATGTTTGTTTTTATTTATGCTCAATCATTTGTTTTTATACGCCATTTTTTACCCCATCCTCAATCATTTCATGTTTTCAGGTCTGACCACGCTATTTGTGTTTGAGCTCAAGCCCAAAATTAATTGGGGGAGAGTGGGCTGCGAATACCGCGATGAAGTTTTGGCAGGATTTCTATGACACATTCGGGCACAGAAGAGAGATGAATTACTCAGACACGGTGATGTCTCTTTAATTCGGGTACGTAACTAGTAATTATTTGCAGATAGCTTTCCAAAAATTGACAAATGTCTTGATCTTATATACCATTCTTCATAATGTTTTCTGTAGCGGAAGGACGGATGACTCGTACTCGCCTGTGCCAGTGCTGTGGCCGCCAATCGGCAATGATGATGATATTGGCAAAATGGGAATAGCAGAGAAAAGGGTTTGGAGGGGGGGCGTGGAAATTGATAGGGTGAAGATTCTCGAGTCGAGACTTTTGGTTGTGGAGAGATACGCGAGTGTTCTTCATGGCTTGACTTTTGGGAGGCCGCTGAAGGTTGATATGATTCCTAATGAGTCGGGCGTGTTTGATATTGCAAAGGAGTGGGAGAGAATGGTGGATTCTTTGGACGAAAGGGGACTCGTTCGTTTGGAGATGTTTTATAGGGACATGCGTGCTGGAGTGAAGGATAGGCTCTTGAAAAGGAGGGTGTTGGAGATGGTTAAGGAGTGCCTCAGGTTAAATGCATCGAATGAATGAAGGTTAGTGTGATAATATGCTTTTTATGTGTGCTTGGTTGGTTACTAGAGGGTTTTGAGATTTGAGTGCAGGTACTTCTCAATTCTGATTAGATGTTTTAGTGTCCAGTGGTACATAGAAAGACAATAATAAGTATCCACGAAGTTATGTTCTGTTGTGTGGATACATGGTTCCAAATTTTGGTTGTATTTGTGTACACAGAATTGCTTAATAATGAAATATCCATTTGTGTTCCTAAAAATCAAATTTAATTGAGGTAATTGCTTGTTAGTTAAATATTAAACCAAAATGATTATACCAGTATTCCAATTTGGAATGGAAGATGCTGTTCACATAGTGTAAATTCCGGCTGAATACAAATAATATTACCATGTTTTGTAATTACATGTAATCAATTTGAGCCGTGAAAATATTTAATTATATATTATCTGTGGGGTGGGTATCTGCCCGTTTAAGGCCTTGACACTTATATGAGTCAACAAGCAGTCATGACCATTCGATCCACCGACAACTCATGGAGAGAATACACAAAGTATTATTGAGGGCTCGGATCATCTACACTCGGCACCCTCACTGTTCTATCTCCACTATCGCGGCTCTATTTACTAACATGATACATACGCACAGCACACACAAAACACTCACACCTCACACACACAGTGCACTCACAAATTTTGTTGCACTCAGCTCTAACGCCCTGTTCGATTTATAGAATTTCTTGAATTATTCTATTTATCGAGTATTATTTATGCGGTTATATTTATTTTGTTGGTCGCGATGGTTATTAGCCGCGACGTCGATATTAATAAAAGGTTGGAATACCCGATCGTTTTATTTGGAAACGTTCGTCGTTTGGCGATTTTGGTTTAATCGCTGAACCAAATATAATCCGTTTGGATAATAGATTTTTCGGATATTTGGCAATATTAATGTTATTATTATTTATTTTATTAAGTTGCCAAAGTAAATTAATTTCTTGATAATATATTTATTAGTGTGTTCTAATAAATATATATTATGTCGGTTTCGTAAATTTAAAAATTTACGGGTCGTCATATTTTATTTTTCCAAGCGTTATGTATTTTCGGATTTTAAGATATTGAGCCCGATAAACCGATAGTCGAAACTGGCCGATTCGTAAACCGTTGTTTACGAATTATTTTGGAATATTATTATTATTATTATTATTAAATGAATGTCTAAATGTCATTATTTGTCTAACTGCATATTATTATTATTATTAAATAAACAATGTTTGTATTATAAATATATATAATAATATCCGGTTTATGATTTAATTTATCGAGCCCGAGAAGAACCGATTTTATTTTTCGGCTAGTCGGGCCCGAGAGCCCAATCGTTTCCTTGAACCCACGTGCAAACCGGCCCGGACAAACCGTATCCAGCCGTGACCCGCGAACCCGGTCCGCCCGACCCGCGTGTGTGTGTTAAGTATGTTTTGTGGGTCAAGACAATAACCCTAGTCTCCTTTTTTTTTTTCACTCGCTCAAAGTATCAGACGAGAACAAAATCTCACCGCAGCTTTTTCTCTCCTTCGTTTTCTTTCGATCGCGACTATAGCAGAGAAATATTTCTCTCGTTCAGTAAATCCCTTGCTTTCACCGTTACCATCATCCCTCACCCGATCGCTGCTCCTCCGCCATCAGAACGCCGTGAACCCATCCTCGCTGACCCTCATCGTCATCAGATCGCCATCCCTTCCGGCGAACCTATGTCAACGCAGAGATTCCGGCGAGCCCTTCCCCCACCGCGACTGTAACTCCGGCGACCTTCCTTGTTCGTGCAGAATCTTGCAGCGACGCTTCCACTCTCCGACGAGTTCCCTCTGTTGCGACCCCGTCGCGCCGTGAAGCTCCGCCGCGACCCTCTGCCTGCGCGAGCAGGTGGCCCGTTTTCTAGATCGCTGCTGACCTCATTCACGCTCAGACGACCTCACGAAGCTTTTCCGGCGATCCTTTCCGTTGTCTTAGTTCACCGTGACCAGCAAACCAGCGGCCGTCCTCCTCGCTGTTCGGGCTCGGAACCCCGTCGCAGCAACCCGCTCGGCCTCTCACGCGAACCCACGAGTCACGCCCCGCTGCCAAGCGCCGTCGAGAGCTCCGTCGATTCGACAGCCCCGTTCGACCCTTCGTTTCCGTTTTCGATCGAACCCCGAGAACAATACAAGGCTCGACCCATCTCGTTTAAATTCTATGTATTATTTTATGTGTTTGATTATGTGAAATGGGTGTTGAACGTGCTTCGTGAATTTAAATTCATGCCTTAGATGAGTATGTGTGAGAGTTTTATTATTTAATTGCAAATTGGATATCAAAGTGATTGTCGTCACTTTGAATTATTGTCGAACTGAACTTAACGTGGTATATTTCGTGGAAATCCTGGAGTTATAGGCACTTGGAGTTGTCCTTGATTTATTGGTTTTGGTTTGAGGTCGTTTTGAGTTGTATGTAGGGAGTTATGATTTTTCTGAACCGAGCATGTTGCTGAACAGTAATAAATTCACCATAAATTGAGTTGTTGTCTGTTTGGGATAAATTTTTTATATGTTGTGCCTCTGAGTATGTGGAATGCGTGTGCCAAGCCCTTGATTTTATCTCTGTGTGTTCAAATGCTTAAAACGGTTTCTGGGCAGAAACTTGTAAAATTCATTAAAACTCGTACACTTTGAGTTTTTAGCTGAAACTTGGAGGAACATGTTATTTTGTGTTGTCTTATGCTGTGTAAAGATTTCAGACTGAAATTCGAATTGTAGCTATGTGAACCATTAAATGCCGATTTTGGCGCTGTTTTTGCTTAAATTATTTAAAAATGCCCCTGGATGAATTTAGGGCTGAAACTTGGTGAGTTCATGTGTTTTTGCATGTTTTATAATGTGGTAAAGTTTCAGGTTGATTGACTGAGCCTAACTCCTAATTCTGAATTTAGTTCATTTTGGGGTCTTAATGCTCGGTTATCTGCTGTTTAGGTTAGGACTGAATTTTGTTAATGTTGGCATGATTTATGTGCATTACCTAAGGTATTTTAGTTTTGTCCAGGTCTGCTCACTCCATAGTACCTAACTCGGTCAAGGAATCCACGAGTCACTTAGCCGATATGATTTCGTCTAAGTATATGTGTCTTGTGTGTTGTTTTGTATTGGATAGTCAGTGATAGGTTATTATAATTTCTGTAGGTTCTTCGAGCTGAACTTGTGCCATAATCCCTTCAACTCTGCGTTTGGCTATACCTGTTGCTATATCCAAGTGGGTTTTATTTGAAAATTTCTATGCCTTAATTAATTGTTATTGTTGTGGTGTGATCAAAGTATGCATGTAAACCATGTAGTCTTCGATGTGAGCTATATTGGCCGTCGAACGGTTATCCCCGTAGCTATAGAACGTACCCGATGGGTACTCTCCTTTATTTATATATGGCAGTCAGGGCTTGGCTGGTGATCCTCGATGTAAGTCCGAAGGCTAGGTTCCGGGCATTCGGGGTGGATTTACTCCTACTGTATGGGCATCAATTGTAAGACCCGCGGGGCATTTCGATACGTGTATCAGCAGTGGTCTATTGATATAGGTGTGCACATGAGGGTTGACTCTGGGATAAAAGATGGGATATTAATTGATTTGTGTTCATACTGCGACCATACCTGCTTTATTTTATAAATTTGAATATTAATTATTGCATAGCAGTGAGAACCTCGATTTTCCTATTGTGTTCATCCCCACCTGCTCTTCATGGATGCAGGTTAGTAATTGCGGGCACGACAGAGGGGGGTGAGTGGTGGTCATGTTATTGATTATTTCCGCTATTTGAATTGCTTAGTATCATTTATGCATTCCTGATTTACGTTGGGTACTGGATTATTGATAGGGAGTGTACTCCCTAGTATTTATGGATTTGATGAACCTAGTTTTGGGAGTTGATGTTATTTATGAACCTGGTTTGGGTGTTGACTTATTTATGATTATTGAACCCGTTTGGGAGTTGCATTTATGATATTGTTGAAATTGCTTTTGCAAATGAGTAGCGCCTCAAGTGTTTTGAAATAAATTTTGAAAAATTTATTCTGAATTTCGACGAATAAAAGTGGGGCGTTACAGTTTGGTATCAGAGCCAGTCTGCGTTTCTGTAGACTGGTTAATGTGAATTATGTGATTACATGCTTTGACCTCATATTTTGACCACTCGCTCTCGTCGTGCCGCGCCAGCTCAGGTATGAGTACCTGAATGATTTAAGACTATTGTGCATTGATTGGTTATTGATTACTGAAATGAAACCGGGGCTTAGGAATTTATCCTCCTACTTTTAAACGTTCTGGAACTCTAGATGAGTGGCGAACCTTAGTTGTATGAATTTGAACTCTAGTGATATAGCGTTAAGTTCTAACTTGAGGTTTTGTTTGTTTAGAAATTTGATATGGTGTTATCGAGCTGAGTTCTGTGTATAACAGTCCTCTCGATGTATTTTGGTGTCTTCGGAAGAGGACCATTCGCGAGCCATCTCGAATGGAGAAGGTTTAAACGAAGGGAGCAGACAACTGAAGAAGTCTCAAGTATGGGATATTCGGAGGTCTGTAACCATGGTTATTAAGACCTTCAGATGTGAATATGCCTATGTTAATTTTGTGTTCATTAGTTTGAAATTGGTTTAAATATATCTTGAATATATGTAGACGATCTCTTCGATTTTGAGAAATCGAACGAGACCTCGTCGATTCGTGATATAGATGCTGTGGATTGGAACGTTGTATCGTCCTTAGCCTTATCGCGAAGACTTCGGACGAATTCATCGTAAAACGAGTCGTAGATAAATGGTTGAACTTTAATAACCGCCGTTTTGTGTTGGAATTATAAAAAATTATGTACTCCTCCATTTGCCTTGAACTTTTGAGGATCTTGTCTTCTGTTGAACATCTAGTTTGTGTTAAAATTTCGTAATTTTTCAAGGCTTGTAGCTATTTTAAGTAATTAGAATGATTTCTGGTCAGTTTCATGTTAATTGCATAATAAATTGTGTAGTGATCGAAATTGATTGAAAATTTAGTATGTTATGCCTTTGTTATGATTGTATTATGTGTAAAACTTTTAGAATTTTTGGACTAAGTTTGATAGGGTAAATA